TTTTACAGGTTTGGCTGTTACAACCCTTAAAAGGACTGATATATATAGTGTTGTTTTTATCAAACTGATGACTGTTATTAACTTGCTATTAGATATAATTTACCAATAGTTACAATATATGAAATATTATGACATTTTACAGCAGTTTTACAGGTTTGGCTGTTACAACCCTTAAAAGGACTGATATATATAGTGTTGTTTTTATCAAACTGATGACTGTTATTAACTTGCTATTAGATATAATTTACCAATAGTTACAATATATGTTTGTACCTATTTTCGTGCACTTCATTCGCTTTGTAACGCAGATTTCTTGCACTTGTTATCAAAATTAAGCTTTTTGTCAGTATTATTATATCAAGTCAATGTCAATACATACGTGTCAATCACAATACTTACCTTGTGTGACTGTGATGTTCATCATCTTTAGTTATCAAAACCTTACCTTCCCGCCGTGAGTTGGCTCATACAAGTCTTTCTTGGTATCAGGATGAGGCATTCCGGCAGGATCTCGTCCAACAATGTAAAAGTTGGCTCCAGTGGACATTCTGGCTTTGGCATGCCATTGCACCTGCAATTAGCCAAAACAAAAGGAAAAAAATGATAACTTATTGCATTTCGAGGAGGTAAATACTTACATCTAAAACCACTTCATTAAAGGACATGGATCGTAAAGAATATGTATTTTTGTTCAATGATATTTTTGAAACGTGAGGAAATGATAAAACGGTTTTACACCACTTTAATTAAGAAAGATTATAACGAAAATCTTTCGGACATGTCCACAGGACTGTTTTGAAGCCAAGGGGCTAAAAGCTTAGTAGTAAACTCATTTCATTCTTCTCAGAATGTACGAGTCAATAAAATATTTATTTATTAAACGTTAAAAAAAAGGTCCTTCGAACGTAAGTACTTATTTGGATGTTGTAAAATCCCTGTCTCTTTTCTGTGTGTAACTCAAGTCTACTTAGCTTTTAAGCAATGTTCAGTGACTTGTATTATTATAGTACATTTATTTGTATTTCTCTACAGAGTGACGTCTTTACTCAACTGTTCTACACAATATCTATCTGACCATAAGATCATGTCTTTCTTCATAAACTTTCACGACGTATAATATTTGTTTTTAAGATATGTGTAAACACCGTATAACTTTAATGGAAATCCAGCTTTTTTTGTGTGAATTATTATTTTTCAACGCTGTAACTGCTAAGCAAAAGTAGTTTTGTTTCGATGATTAGTGATCTACTTATCATAAATCAATATCTTGTTGATACTGGTAATACACAGTTTCATAGATTTTATACGATGTAAATGCGTTTCAGGATCATCTAATACATCACGTAATCAACATGATTTTATATCTGCAGCTCTGAAAAGATACATAATTCCTTATGAATTGCACAATTCTAATTGAAGAAGTGATTGTTTTTTGTTGTTGTTTTTTTTGCTAGGTATTATCAGAAACAAAGTACTGACTGTATTTCCTACGTCTGTCAGCATCTAGCCTTGTTATTAAATCTACGGATGCTGTCAAAAAATGGCATATCTTATTATAATAGACAATTCAGTTTGTATGTTTTAGAGCAAAGCCTCACTGGGCTATCTGTGTCTACTGCGGGGAATCGAACCCCGGATTTTAGCGTTGTAAGTCCGTACACTTACCAGCACTTACTGTATCGTAACGGTGTCCGTCAACATTTTTCAAAATTTAAGCAAAAATGATGCTCATAATGCTTTATATCTTTTCAGAGTCACTCATTATGACAAATGTATGAAACTCCGTATGAGAGAAAGTTTATCTGGAGCTTTGAAATAAAGCGGTTTGTTATCAGAAGAATGAACCTATTCTATTGTTAGAGGAGCTAAGCCTTATAACACAGAAATTTGAAACTGTAACAAAACATTTTCAGATTGTTTTTGTTTTTGTTGCTCAAACAATCCTCATTGGCTATAACACAGAAATTTGAAACTGTAACAAAACATTTTCAGATTGTTTTTGTTTTTGTTGCTCAAACAATCCTCATTCAAAGCTGTAATTACGGTAGTTATTTCTTCTATTATGTCCACCTTACAAAACACGTTAAAACAACGTTTTTTCATGCACATTCAAACTTTAGCTACAAATCGACATGTTTTGTTAGGTATTGTCATCATCAAGAGTGAATTTATATAAATATGACAAAATTGAACAGTTTATAAGAAACAATGTACTATCTCATTACACAGACAAGAGCTAAAAGATTGTTACTTTTTATACATACTCAAAAGGTCGGACTGTAGTTGCTTGCTGATCCATCATCTCTATTTAATAATGCATGTTTTTGTTGAATACACAACATTTTCAAACATTAAGTTCCATTTCTGTATTCGGTTTATTAAAAAGTCTGACCTTATTCCGACTTTAGATTCAAATTTCACAAATAATCCTAAAGTTACCATAAGTCCAAAGTAAACCTAACAGAAAGACAACTCGAAGTGTTAAGCTTAGGTTCAAAATTTTCAGCAACACCAAAACATTTACTTATAAAACACATGTAATCATTAATGTTGAAACTAATATAAAACAAATAAAAGATAGTAAAATTAATCGTTTGAGTAGGTATGAATGCCAACATGTAAATTTGTCAATAAAATTAAAAATCAAGAGTGAGTTAACTGAAGAAAAATATTAGCACTACTTTTCTTAAAAAAAAAGAAACACCAAATTTTGTTATGATCTAAACTGATAAGGATTTTATTATTGTTATGCGCAAAGCTACACACAATGTGCTCTACCCACCACGATTATCGAAACCAGATTTTTAGCGTATTAAACTCTGGGTTCGTGGAGGAGGGGGGTGGGTTGATAAAGGAGAGTATCTAGTGATATCAAACAGACGGGATTATATAGCTGTGTTTAAAGTTTATTAAATGACAGTCCATATATTTTCCCAGGAAAGTCCCAACGACTAAATTAATAAATTAGTAAAATAACAAGTTGAACAACTTCTAGCTTTATTACCTTTAATCCGTTACGTTTCAAAACCTTACTTAAGATTCATAAGTTAGAAAACAGTTTTAGACCCATTGTTTCTCTTATATGGACTTCTGTACATTTATGTTGCGAAAACAATTGCTGAAAGGCTTTGGTACCTATGGAGTAACAATAAAAAAAAATCAATTGAATTTGTTGACTAAGTTAAGAACATACAATTTAAACCTACTGATATGTTAGTATCCTCTGACGGCATCTCTTTGTTCACTCAAATCGCAATAGAAGAAACTATTAATTGCTTTAAAGAGAAGTTAATTAAAACTTTTGTATCACCTACGGAAGTGACTGGTGTCATTGGTTTAATCCATGCATTAAAAAACTCGTTTTTTCAAACTGAGTGATAAATACTATCAACAAAGGACAGGATTGGCTTTCCCTTTCCTTTTGAATGTTCTGCACTTGACAATACCTATACGGGTATAAGACCTGATACGTGGGTATGGCGACTTGGTGATACTGAACTTTGTTTTACGACTTAAACAGTGTTGGCACGTCCAAATCAAACATCGCACATATGTAAGAGAATGAAATAACTTTTCTTTCCTCTTTATCATTGGAATTTGTTTGTTTGTAATTAAGCACAAAGCTACACAATGGGCTGTCTGTGCTCTGCCCACCACGGGTATCGAAACCCGGATTTTGACGTTGTAAGTCCGCAGACATACCGCTGCACCACTGGGGGGCTTATCATTGGAAAACGATATACTTCTGGGAATATTTCCATGACAGTCTACAGAAAACCCCCCCCTTGGTCTCAGTGACGCCACAGTTAAGGTTATTATCTCTTTCCCCCGAACCTTACAACTCTCCATACCTTCGTAAATAGCACTTTAGAATGCGCTCTGATGGACTGGACTTATAAGAAACGAACTAGATTCTATAAAAAATATTGTTAAAGATAGGAGCTTCAAGGTCAACATGATAAAAAATATATATAGTTGCAGTACCATCATGCAGTATACTAAATTATATAGTGTGTGTAAGAATACCTAGAATATAGTTGTACTATCATAAGTATCATATAAGAAGACCTAAAATATAGTTGTACTATCTTGTGTATCATATAAAAAGACCTAAAATATAGTTGTACTATCTTGTGTATCATATAAAAAGACCTAAAATATAGTTGTACTATCTTGTGTATCATATAAAAAGACCTAAAATATAGTTGTACTATCATATGTGTCATATATCAAACGAATACATTTGCGAACATTTTCAGAAAACATGTTTACATCCTTGTTTTCAAACCAATCAATAAAATCAGGAACATAATTCCTAACAAAATCGATAAAGTGGATATCTTGGATAATAACATCTATGTATATAATTACATGTGAGTGTAACAAGAAACGTATACGTCAAACTGAACACAGTTTCAAATACCACATTAACGATCACAAAGGCTATACACGCAACAATAAGACTTCCATCTCTCACTTCTCAACATAAAGGCTACATATGCAACAATAAGACTTCTATCCCCCACTACTTGACACAAAGGCTATATACGCAACAATAAGACTTCCATCCCTCACTTCTCAACATAAAGGCTATATATGCAACAATAAGACTTCCATCCCTCACTTCTCAACATAAAGGCTATATACAGCAATAAGACTTCTATCTCCCACTTCTCAACACAAAGGCTGTATACGCAGCAATAAGACTGCCACCCCACGAACTCTTTCTTTTTCTTGAAGAACACGTCCTGGAAATGAGTCATTCAATTCATAGAATGAAATCAAACTCTTGAATAAACAGAAGTGGAAGTTAATGTTCGAGAATTTACTGACATTTTTGAAGAAAACTAATACACACATTTATAACTAAAGGTGAAGGACCAGCAAGTAATTATGTACAGTAATTATCTGCATATACCAATGAACTTCCACCGTTCCACCTCCCTTGTAATAAAATAGCTTCTGTTTTGCTTAAATTGCTAAATGTTGTCTGATGTACTTAAAGTCACTGCTGAGAACGAAAATGAAATACGACCGAAACATGTAATTAAAAGTTGAATTAATTTGATTGTGCTTGAAAATACGTTGCTTTTATACATTTTACAGAACTTATGCACATGTATGGTACTAAGAAAATTTTAATTTCCATATTAAATGGTATCTAAAATAACTTTTCCAGGTGGTCTGCACCAATGTAATGTAGCTGAAAATTGAGCTACTCAAAGTAAGCTAAGTTAAACTCTTCATAATCTAATAGTGGCAAGCAAAACATGGAATACGTATAATATAAGGCAATCTCGAGTAAGCTGTTAGCTTGTATCCTAACCCTAGGAATATGTAGATGATACAACACCTGCTACCCGAATCCGTGATTACTCTTAAGTCCCATAATATATGGCTGTAAACGAAGATGTGTTTATGGCTAAGCCTCTGTGGAGCTTTAAAAAGATGGAGAGTAAATGTGGTTGAGCAATTTATTATTACTCGTTAATATGTCTATCCAGTACTATTGGGCATAAAGTTTGATTGGTTATCCTTACAGTTCAATCAAAACCAAAAGTTCGGGCTTGAATCCCAGAAAACTGCAAAATGAATGTAAGAAAATATTCATTTCATTTAAAGAAACTTCAACTGCTCACGTACCTCTGTTGGTCCTGCGTACATCATGGGTGAGGGAAAGATGGCCAACACTGTATTTTCTGGATTAAGAACGCCTTCATTCAATACTGCTTTGTATTGTTTCATCCTGACCGATAAAGGTACATCGTCTTCCTTAGTCCAACCGCCTAAGACATATGTTGAGGATAGTTATTGTAGACTGACGCACGTAACTATATTAAAAAGAATTTTGATTCCTGCCACACAAGCATTACAAAATAAGTTTTTCAAAGACAATGAATTTAATATCCGTTTAGGATAATTCAGATGTGTTGCCTTGCATTAAATGAGGTTTGCAGCTTATTGATTTGTTGTTCAGCAAAAAGCTACACAAAAGTATACCCGTTGCTTGCTCGCCGCGGGCATCGAAACCCGATTTTTTTAGTATTATAAGCAGCTAATAAGATGTTTAAACATGTTATGAATTATAGTGGCATAAAAACAGCTCCATGTAAATTTGTTTTCAGTCTATAAGAAACATGGTTTGGAATGATTAGATGAAACAATTTAAACTTTGACGCTCCTTATCAAAGACAATTTACCAGAGAGAACAGCGGTTTTACATAAGTAAAAAGAAGTACACGTCATGATAACTCTTCAGTACACCCTAAATCATTTACACACCTATTTAACTCATTTGAAAAGTCGTCATTACCATAATACTAGACACTAATTTTAATGCAAACATTAAACACACACATTAAACATTATCATAACACAGATGATTTAATTGTCTGTCTACATATTCGGATATAATGTTGTTATTTATCCTAAACTAAAATTACCAGTTCGAGAATTTAACAAAAAAATATTTTCAAACATACTTTACCCTCCTATAATTGTTGTCGTAATTTAATAACGAATAAAAGGTTAGCTTTATAATTGTAAAGCATGAGACGTAGCATATAGATTACGTCCACACTGTAATAATGAAAAAAAATAAAAAGTTTCACCTTAGAGTATTTGCTGGCCTAATCACCCTACTATTTACCTAGAGGATGAAGAAGGAGAACTGGTTTTTTGTAGCCTCGCTTCAAGAGCCTCTCTTCAGTATCCTGCATTAACAAAGCATGTCCATTGTGGACTGGGTTACGTAACTGAAAAGCAAACACTGCGTCTGCCTGGAAAGAAAGTGTACATTAAGAAACTGTTTGTATAGTTTTTCTCGTTTTCTAAACTAAGGGAATATTTTCATGACCACGAAATCAAGATTTATCAGTATACTAAGGTACTTTAAACATAAATACAACCTTGTACCTTTGTTTTATATATATGCATCTTTATGGGTAGATAATTTATTTATTGGCGTAACTAATTTCATGAGGATATATTCTTATTAATTTTTCAATATAATTGCTTTTTTAATATGTGCTTAATAGTGATTTTATACTATGGGTAAAATTGGTAACGCAGGGATAAATGTAAAACAATTAAAAATATGAACAAAAAGCAAGATATCCTCTTACAAGGTATTTTCCATAAGAAATTTTGCTGATACGGAAAGAGTCTGATAGGTCGCGCCCCAACTTTGTAAGTCTTTAATCATAGGGGTGTACGCAGAAGTAAATGGCATTGCATATAATAAATATCAGCACTCAGAGACGGACTGACATTTTTGGACATAAAGGAACTGCGTAATCAGCGGCTCTGATTTCATTGAAATTGGTATGGGTCACACAGGGGTGAGAAAGGAGTTCAAATACAATATTTACAGTCTATTGATAACTGACAATTTACAATTTTACGAAATTAGTCTATCAAATGGTTTAGATAGGACTCATTTTTGCTACTAACATAACAGACAAAACTTGGACATAAAAAGAAATACATTTAAAAAAAAAACGCGTATCAAAAAGAACCTAGAATGTAATAATTAATAGCGAGGTTTAACAAGCAGAGCTTGAGTATATTGGATATAACAAAAAATTACAGTATATCAAAGAATACACTAATATATTAAGTTAACACAGTATACTAATATAATACATAGTCTTGCCTATAGATGTGCTTTGCTACAATTCGAATGCAGTGTGTCCCCAAACCTTTAAGGTTACAATAGCTTTCTCATTTAATGAGAAATTCGATTCTCACCAATATGTTGGATAATACAATACCGTAATCATTCTCCACGTTTCGAACAGTAATTATCTTGGACTTAGACACGTGGCTTTATTCCGATGTAGCCATGCTATTTAAGCGTCCTGGACGTGCAGGAATATTACCTGGATTAAATATGTCCATACATTTTTCTGATAGTTATTGAGAACTCACCTTTATTGTATATTTTGTAAGGATCACATTTTCCCATTACTTCCTCCACGGATGATGATCATAATTATGCACACAGCCCGGAATAAAGTGAGATTAACCTCATGGATATACTATACACATTTCATCAGAAAAGACACTAAGTTTGTTTAGAGCATGTAAATTAATTTTATATCTGTTAGTTCAAACAAACATTCCTTATGTGGCAGATAATGATTTATTGTACATGAATATCTCATCATAAATTAACAGGCCCCCAGTTGCCAGCGGTACGTCTGCGGACTTACAACGCTAGAATCCGGGTTTCGATACCCGTGGTGGGCAGAGCCCAGATAGCCCATTGTGTAGCTTTGTGCTTAATTACAAACAAACAATGAATTAACAGAAATTGTTCCTACACGTTGCAGGTGACTAATTGCATACTAAGCTATAGGCTCATTGAATATGACAGTTTGTAAGGGTATATATATATGCTCTTCTCTGTTCTTCCACAACGGAGACTCAACTTATTACTATTTTCTGTTACACTCCTTTTGGTAAAAATAAGTATATCCTCTTGATAAATTTTATGAACGACGTGTCGTTTTTCTCTAAATTATAATTTTGAACGAAATAACAGTCTCTTAAACGTTTAATAATGACATAAACTGACAAACTTCACCTAACTGCTACAAATAAGTTTGTTTGTTTGTTTGTTTTGAATTTCGCGCAAAGCTACACAAGGGCTATCTGCGCTAGCCGTCCCTAATTTAGCAGTGTAAGACTAGAGGGAAGGCAATTAGTCATCACCACCCACCGCCAACTCTTGGGCTACTCTTTTACCAACGAATAGTGGGTTTGACCGTCACATTTTAACGCCCCCACGGCTGAAAGGGCGAGCATGTTCGGTGTGACGGGGATTCGAACTAACCACCTGGCCATGCTACAAATAAGACTGTGATAGAGAAAGCATATAAGTGTCTTACTCTCATATTTTTGAATTTTGCCCGGAGCTCCAAGGGCGTCAGCCTATATTCATCTAAGCCGTCATTCCACTGAATTTTTTCTAGAACATCTAATTCACCTCCAACCAACCAATCTCCGCTTTCCATGATCATCTAAGAAATCAAACCACAAACAAATATTTAACGCATATTGTACGGAAATATAACATTCACATGTTGTTGTTTTTCAAAGAATTATAAATTAAGACAAAATTAAAATACCTTCCAGTTCCAAAGAACTGGTTACGAGAATAATGATAGTCGTTCCAGTTTTCAAAAAATGGTTACAAGAATGGTAATGGTCGTTCCAGTTCGAAAAAAAGAGATATTTGGACTGATAAAAAAAGGAAACATGAAAAAACGAAAAAAAAAAAACAATCTGGATAGACCAAATACGACTCACACTCAATTTCAGTCAGATTCTTTAAAGTAATTTATGTATTACCGATGGCTCTCACTGATCTACAAAATATTAAGTTCGGAGAACCTTTGTTATAGCTAGATTTATCTTTGAGTTATTCTTCACACACGTACATAATGATAAACGTATTTTTAATTGGGAAAAATTCCGGAAAATATGTTCAATTTTAATCAATATCTCATGAGTTTTCCGATGTTAGTTTCTCCCCTTTTTCATAATAAAGCAATTAATTAGATGAGGCTCGACTATCGTGGTAAGGAATAAATTTAATACGTTGAAAATCCATTTAGGTTTAACTAATTTTAATAATATGTATTGCTGTATCATACCTATTAACCTCATCCTTCATCTTACCTTGACATAAGGATGGCCTGAATTATTGGTTCCGAACTGCCTACAGCAACGTTCCTCTTTCCTGTGTTCGTAGATTTCGGCTTTCCGAAGAATGGCGATGTTCTTATCCTTATATCTTAAAGTAATATCCGAGCAATCGGATAGTCTCTTCTTATCCTCATTTGATATGGGCAGAACAATTGGAATAGATTGGTTAGTCGTTCCTTCTACGATATTTAAAATATAACAAAATTATCCAATCGAGCATTTATAATGGAAAATTTACATAACTTTTATTTCAGAAATCTGTAACAAAATAAAGTAGGTTTGTTTGTTTTGAATTTCGCGCAAAGCTACACGAGGGCTATCTGCGCTAGCCGTCCCTAATTTAGCAGTGTAAGACTAGAGGGAAGGCTGTTAGTCATCACCACCCACCGCCAACTCTTGGGCTACTCTTTTACCAACGAATAGTGGGATTGACCGTCACATTAAAACGCCCCCACGAGTGAAAGGGCGAGCATGTTTGGTGTGATGGGGATTCGAACCCGCGACCCGCAGATTGCGACTCGAGCGCCCTAACCACCTAGCCATACCGGGCCAATAAAATAGGAAACTGTTTCATCTCACTTTGAACCTTGAAACAACAAACGTACTAGCACGCCCGAGTTAGAAATTACTTGAAGGTTGATTCACTGTTTCAGTAAAAATTAAAAAAATTTGAAAAACATGACAAGCAACCATTACTACAAAGGACGAACGGCATTTGCACGACATTGATTTTTCATTTTGTTTTTGCTCAAACTCAAACTTTGAGAAAATTAAAAACCGTTCTTTTGCACAACACGCGTACACAGTCTCAGTTAAGTAATACAATAACAACAAATATAATGTTTTATGACCGATGTTATTGACATATCATAATACAAAGGCAGCGGTTATATCGTGCATATGAGATATTTATACACTACCATCAAAAAGGCAGCCAAAATGCATGCATTGAAGAAACTGCCGCTCTCTCATGAAACCCTGCAATGGAGTAGCCCAGCCCTCAGACAAGACTTGCACCCATTGCACATCTAATACGTTTATATCTACGTGAGGCAGGGATTTTGCCTCATTCTTGACCTCATCTAGTCGGTCTTTTGGAACGAACAATTCCTTAGCCGTGTCCACTGCTGACTCAGGGATGATCCCCTAAAAACGAAAGAGAAAATCATAACAAAAACTGTGAAATTTCTTTTTGGCTCTTTAGAGTACCTGCAACCATTTGAAATAACTTATGTTCCAGTTTTAAAATAATACGGTAATGAAAAAGAACTTATTTATAAAATCTGGGATTAAAGCACGGGAATTAAAACAAAAGTTTGTGTTTCAGTTTTTCGATGATAATTCTTGTTGTTTTTAACAACAATTTTTGGGTCAACTTAATCAAATTAACTAACTACATCTCGCGTTCTTATAAATTATTAAAAGTAAATGTTAATGTTAGAAAAAATATTTAAAATAATAAGAAATTGATAAATAAAAATTAAATCTTGTAAAAAAAAAACATCGCCCCTTCATTTTCAAACCTCAATTAGGGATTTGTTTTTGGGGGGATAACAATATTGGATCCATAACTTCTCAAAATATACCTAAAACAATGACATAAAGCTTTTGTGGAATAGTTACCTTGTTCTTTAGTAAGTGGATGACCTTTTGAACACATTCATAAATGGTTAGATCTCCGGCCTTAATGACAAGTTCAGGCTTACTTGGTGGTTCATAGGAAGAGTCAATACCCGTGAATGCTAGAAAGCAAAAACATTAACTGAGCGAACTGCAGAATATGCTATCTATATATATTGTATAAAAGCATATGTTCAACAGTATTTGTGACCATCATCACAAGTGTTTGGATATGTTAGTGAAGAATATGCATATCATCAGACTTTTGTAATTATATAAAAAAATGAAAATATTTATATCAATATATAAATAGAAAAAATTACGTATACAAAACGCCTGAAATTCGATGATATATGCTATTTTACCATAAACTTATTCATATGCCACGATATTGAAATAGCACATGAAAACATATGCCAATATTTTATTCATAATGTCAAGCCTTCCCTGTTATTTGAAAGAAAAAATATTGAATAATACATTATGTTAAGATTATATTAAAATCACATCCTAAAATAAATATAATCGTCATTGTGCTAGCTCCAGTTTTTTCCGATTCTATAATTTACATATCACAACAGTATTACATTACGTTATTCAAGCAATATATTCTCTAAGAAATGTACCTTTAATTTTTCCGGCTCGGGCCTTCTTGTAAAGCCCTTTAACGTCTCGTTTTTCACATATTTCGATTGGAGTGTCAACAAAACCAAATTCGTTAAACTTAAGGAGGGACTTAACTTACCTTTTGTTGGTATGATACGTTAGGTCCTCGTTTCGTTCCGAGTCCTTCGGAATTAAAAAA